CGGTCCCCACGATTTAAGCCAACAGGGCTCACTGTAATTTAAAGCAGTTTAAAACTTCCACGATGGGATGAGATGGGTAAAAAGTTTAGTTTTAGATTCAGATGTTTACGTTGTTTACATGAATATGTCATGCATATTGAATTTTTTATTATTATTATAAATAGATTGACCCAATAGGCCATTTCAGAGTTCCAGAAAATCTCACTTTCAAAACGAGGCTAAGTGCGAAACCTTTGTTGTGAAAATGAGTTTTATTTGCATCATAATTAAAAATCATTTTTACAACAAAGGTTTCGCACTTAGCCTCGCTTTGAAAATGAGATTTTTTGGAACTCGGAAATGGCCTATTGCTAGTGGTTCATTTCACAAGTTACAGATTTTCATTTAGAAATATTAAATTACAGAATTACAGAATTAAATAATTACAGTACTTGTTTCGTTTCGTTTCGTCAAATACCATAAGCATTCAGAGGGCTCACCCCTGAGAGGGTTGTGTTAATGAGATCCCCTGGGTAACCTCTCTGTAGCAGATGTGATTTGTAATTTTCTCTTCAAATATTATTTTAGGAGAATTTGTTCTGAAAAGTCTTTATAGGGCCTCTCCTTTAATGAAGCCTATTTTAACTCCTTGTGGGTGACAGGAACTAAAATGCGTGTATTGAAATGCCTGAGTTGGTTTAAAATAAGGGTCTCAATGGGGTTATGGTTGCGTTTTTTTAATTCCCCCCTATTGTGACTCCGTACGTATCAGTTAGGCGAAGCGCCTTTTAGGTGTTGACCAAGACCTAGGCTCCATTTCCGCCGCTCTCTCGGAGAACTAATTTTTCCATAGCGAAAGTGTGGCTTCTTGCTGGGAATTAATATTTGCGATTTTCAGGAGGTCGTGCCCTCGAAACACTAGTGAAACAGCACGCAGAGATGTCACTGTCTGTAAACACGTTGCCGATAAACAACAGTTCCCTGTTTTTCCCTGACGCTACGGCAGAGATTGCCATGCTTAGTTCCTGTGCGGCGTCTTCCCACGCAATCTCGGTCAAGGCATTTTGGTTGCGAACTCGCTCGAACCACGTGACCCGAAACGCATTAGGTGCGCGGAATATCTACGGAGAAGGCAACGGCAGACAGTCGATCCGTACTGTCCTTCGCTATCATCAAAAACACTGGACACGGGAATTTTGTTATTGGCCGTTTTCACACTAGTGCTAGTGGATTATCCGTCTGAGACCAGACTGTGTACAGTCGCCCCCTCCCCCACAGACACCCCTTCTCTGATTTTTTCTAAGTGGAGGGGGCGGCGGTACACAGGCTCTCTGAAATGGATAATCCATCTTCAATCAAACTGTCCGTGAAAATTGACGGATAAAGTCAGGCGGATTGTTCATTCAAAATTAAAGGTATTCTGACGCGAATCATCAAACGGATAACCCGTCTCGCACAAATAATCCGTCTCCGTGGTGTGAAAACGGCCATTTCTGTTATAATGAATGTCGCGCCCCGGCCTTGAGTTGGGCGTTCGAGTGCCTACTTTTGCTTTTTCACAAAGATTATTTTTAAATTGACTACAGTCTAACCTCTCCTTACGGACACCTCTCTATTACGGACTGTTCGTTTGGTCCCAGAAACGCCAAAAATCATACATTCCCTACCTCTATAATACGGACACCTCTGTAAAGTGGACACTTGGTTCTGTCCCTTTGGTGTCCGTATTAAAGAGGTTTGACTGTATTGACATTTCTATGTGTAAAATGATATTAGAAAAGGAATACTTTATAAAAAGTATGATCTGTTAAATGTTAAAATTTTTCAAAAGAATAGCTTATTTTATCCCGAGATGAATCGAAGCAACCTCGTCCCCAGGGCTTTTCCCTTAAAAAATGGGTGGGGCATTTTTTAAGGGAAAAGCCCTGGGGACGAGGTTGGAATCGAAGACCTTTATTTTGCTTTAAAGATAAAAAAATACAGGTTAATTAATATTTAACTCTTTGAAACAAAAGAAATTGATTTTTAACTCTTTTGTTAACCGTACTGAAAAAAAATTAACCGTTAGCCGTAAAAGAGCCAAAATTTTAGCCGATAATCGTGAAAGCCACCACCCCATTGAGACCCTCTAAAATGAGTACGCACATCAAGGATTGCGTCTCTTGCGTCTTTGTAGATGTAGGTGTCCAGGAATGTTGTTTCCTTATCGGAAATTTCAGCCGTAAATTTGATCATAGGGTGATGATTGTTCGCTAGCTTGCTCAATGAACTGTTCTATTCTGTGTCTGTTTATAGTCCAGAGCGAGAATATGTCGTCTATATACATGATTAACGTTTCCAAACGAGCGGTTTTAGTTCGCTTTGGGTAAGGATTTCGGTCTCTACCTTGTTCATGAATATACTAGGAGTAATCGGAGCTTAGGAGAGTGCGTTCGATATGTTTGTTAGGCGTACAGGTAGCAGTTGAGGGGGAAGGGTGGAACGCAAGGGTTGCCTACAGCGAAACCTCTATAAGAAGGTTTTGAAAAGATATCGTATGGTTCGGTGTCAAGTGTTTGTAATCGGAGGAGACATTGGCCAGAGTGCGTCGGGCGTGTAAACAGAACATTTTGTTTTACTGGCGCGAGTTACAGGGCACAGTTGCTCAAAGGCCGATTAGTGCTTAACCTGGGATTCTTTTTCTTTCTTCAAAAACATTTCTTCGGATAATTTTCTCTGTTATTTTTAAGATCATCCAATCATCAACTTGCTGACAAAATGAATTACATTGAATTTACTGTTTTAAAAGCTTTCACATCTGAATTCAAACTTCGCACTAACCCTGTCAAAGCCTTCAATGGAATGTGTGTGCGGCTCACATCAATAACTTTTCCAGTAATTTGGTCGAGCGTGTTGATCTCAGTGACTCGAGAGTGCTTTATAAGTTTTTCCTAATAAATAACATAGCGTTAAAGTGTTCGTTTGTCCGGTGCCGAAAATATCACAAGTCATGATCAAATGGCAGGACTTTAGTAGCTTGACTTGGTCAGCCAAGAAGTCTTACCTGTAGCTGGGCAGCCACCTGCCTGGGTGACAATTTTTTCCTTCTTCTGTTTTTCCTGAGGGCCATTTAATTGGATATTAACTGCCCCCCCCACCCCTTCCTGATAAATTCAGCTTGCTCTCTCCTCAGTATCTATAGCAATCAAATCACCCCTCACTTCCAATGCTTTTTCTTGCCATAACTGAAAATATGGAGGACCACAACCAGTTTTTTTTTTAATGACCATTAATGTAATTTATTATTCATTCAAAATATTTCCCCGATTCTGATTGACTAAAAGCACATGCATAATTCACCACAACCAGCTACTGATGACCAAATTTTGAAGAATTTTTTGTTTAATGAACCGATGACGTCAAAAGTGCAGCATTCTTGCAGGTTAAGACACCGTTACCGTGAAGACCTGAGGATGAGGTTGAGTTGTTTTGGTTGTGAAAACAAAAATAGCGGAACATTCATGACGATTTATTGTCTAAAAACATAGCAAGAAGACAACTCGATGGACAAAATCTGCTATTTGGAGTATATTTGCAGACCTGAACAACCCTTTATCTTCTAAACAGCCCTTATCGAGGTGAACTTGACGTTGAAGAAGGTAAACATGTTTTAGCTTGTTTTTAAACTAGGAATTATTTTGAATGAATAATAAAGCAGTTTAGTGAATTTGGCTTTCGTAGGATATGAAGAATTAGGCAGCCTACTCAGCCTCACTCATTAATTGCTAAAAATAATGATGAGCTCATCCGTAAAAAACAATAAGCAAAGCCCAATAAATCTTGTTTCATCAGGAGCTCAGAAGGTAACCAACAAGGAAATAGGCAAACTAGAAGATGTTTTAACAGAATGGTAGGTTCTCTTCACAGGTTTTTTTAGAAAGTACAAAGGGACGTTACCAAAAGATGATTACAAAAGCTTTAACTTAGGAAACAATACACAACACTATGTTTTACCAAGACTTAAATCTTCTACGAATTAAAGGAAAAAGATAACTAAGGAATTAAAAAAAAAAGTGTTAACAGGTAGGCCTAATATGACTGGATAACTGGTAGTGTACCCCAAGTTTTTTGTCTCACGCTGAGTTCTCAAAAAGACGAGATTTAGGTCAATTTTCAACAGATCTTAGTGAGAATGGTTTACCTTGAAGTCTATTTTAGGAAACAGTTATGAAGCAGTGGAGGAGATAAAGGGAGCTGATACCAGCTCTTGACGGTCATAAACTTTGTTTCAATTTATTTCAACAGTTGAAGATGCTTAATTATAAAACATCGAGGGAGCTTAAGCTTTAATAGTATCAGTGATAATGTAGAAGTAAACCTGATGGGGAGCTGCAATGACTGGAATTGCTTTAATGTGGGTATTCTGAAAACAGATACTAAAGGTATTCCATCTCCTTCGTTTGGTATCTCGAGTAACTATTTTTTTCCCGTTAGCAGAAAAGATGAAAGTGCTCGCACATTTCCACTCTTAACAGACAGTTAATAGTATAAATTTCCTAATGCAAAAATATTCCTCTTCTTAACAGTACAGGGCTTTCAACCCCCACGTCTTCAAATATTGAGAATTGATGGGGATGGGATGATAGATCCGTCAAAATCTGTAGTCTCTCTCCCGGATTATCCGGGAGAGTTGGCAGCCTTGCAGTATTCTTAAAAACATTCGACAGCTTATATTATGCAGTGCAATAGTAATGCATTGGTGGGTAAATAATGAGATGGTTGAATGTATATATCATGGGCGGATCCAGGATTTTTTCTAGGAGGGGGTGCACTCATCTCTTGCTCTACTTCAACCCCAATAAACCACATAGTTTTTTTTTTTGCAGAATACCAGTTGTATTAGAAAACCGCAGGTCATCTCGGGGGGGGGGGGGTGGGGGGGGGGGGTGCGCACCCCCTGCACCCTCCCCCTAGATCCGCCACTGTATATTTTTTAACAGCTTGATGGACTGAACACATGCTGTTATTAAAATTGTACTGACTCTTTACGGAATCGTTGACGTCGTTGTGATCTTGACAATCGAGCGTCTTTTTGCTAAGATTTTTCAGGTGCACCCAACGAGAATATAGTTCAAAACCAGTTAAACATAGCTTTGTTAAACGCATTTTAGTATTTAAACTGTAGATATAAGCATATTTTTATCCCCTAAAAATTTTTCATCTGTTCGGATTTCCCAGCTGAAAGCTTAGTGATCCGAAAATTATAGGGATCAAAACTTACCTTTTCGAAAATTTCAGCCAGAAAAAAGGCTCCCGAAATTTATAGGTGACCTTTTTAGGGTAAAAATCCGTTAAAAATAGGCAATTATACCATTTTTTAGATGTTCGAAAATCCTAGGAGAGGCAGGCAAGCAAGAAATTTTAAAACAAATGTTTCGAACATTCTAGATCTAAAATAGTCTTGCGAACAGATATTCTTCCGAAAATTGTCGTTAGGTGCCTCTGATTTTTTTCTTGGCTCAGGTGCAGCTTTTGACGAGGGAGTCAATTCTTGTTCACCATGTTTCAAAAATGTTTCCTTGTCGTCTGAAAAAATAGAAACCCTCCTTGTTGTTGTTGTTTTTTGGTTTCACTGGCTCACAAAAACAAATCGGTTAAGCTAAAGAATCACATAAGAAGTCAAACGTATCTAGAATCTCTGTAAAATAGAGAAAACGAGAAAAAATATAGAGAAAAGAATTACCAACCTTCAATCCACAGTTCACTATAAAAAGAACCATCGATATCGTCCATGCTTTGCGGGAACCCTTAGCTTCCCGCACACAAGCCATGCCGGCGAAACGACTAAAACGCTAGAAAAGGCATAAAAATACTTTTTGCTAACTTTTTTTATTGTTAATAATAAATAAATAGACGTAACAAAGGATATTGAGCATAAAAAATACCAGAAAAGTGCCGATACCTTAAAAAAAAAAGACCTGCACGTCTTTATGAGCGTTTGCGCGTCTCTAGCGAACCAAATCTGCCAGTCGCTATTTTTCCTTCGTCCCTTCCCATGAGACCCCGAGCGCGCCTCAACCTAACTAAACATAGCGACTGGGTAAGGGTCTGTAGTTCCGGTACAAAACTTTGAAATACCCTGGCCTCCTGAAAATTTGCTTTCCATACTAAGGAGGTAATTCAAAAAAAATAACCAATGTCCTTTCATTAAAGGTATTGAACATAGAAGACCAGTTATTGCCAAATATCTTTGAAATACAATATACCATCATTAAACATTATTTAATTAAAATAAGTCTCTAAAACTTGCATGTTGTTTTCTCTTGTTCGCCTCGATTAGTCACCGTGTGGCACAAAATGTCTGCGGCAGTTTATTTTTGTGGATTGGCGATTTTTTGTGTTTTGCTGGAACTAATTTTTGTGATTAGGACAGATTTGCTTTTCTTGCTGGGAATTAATTTTTGGTTTTTTCAGAAAGTACCCAGTACCTAGCATCATGTGATATTATTTTCGTTTTTATTGAGTATGTGCAATAGAAATACATATTTTTAAACAACAGTATTTCATTGTATACCGTTTTGTTTCTGAATGAAAGAGACAAGTTGTGTTTCAACAGACACGATTTCCTAGTACTGCATTTTTGTGTAGCGAATTCAAGTTAGTATGAAAATATTTAATCTGGAGTAAATTTTTGCGGGAAAACTGTTTGCGGTAATTTCTATTTGCAGGAACTTATTTTTGCGGATCGCTGAAAAAATCGCAAAAATGGCAAAATTAGAACCTGCAGAAATTTTCTGCCACACAGTAGATTATTTTCGGTTGGGGCTTTGTATATTGGTGTTTAATAAAGTGTACCCGGTAATGTGTAGAATTAAGTGTAAATGTAGAAGTAGCTGTCACGGTTTCTGAAACAAATTTTAAACTTAAATGAATGAGTTATAAATTAATGATTTAACACAAGAAAACCAGTCAGGTCAGAAAACACACGTCAGTGGGAACTGCCTTTTTCACTGATTAACATTTTTTGTTTCGTTGATGTTCTCAAATCTTTATATCCCTTGTCCCTAAAAGCATAACAATTATTAATATTGTTTCTGCTCTTCCGAAATTCGCTTGTTTCAAGAGACTATATCTCAATCTATACATTTCATTCAAGGGCTAACAAATTGATACTGTAAAAGGAGAAACAGACCATCATGGAATATGCAAAGCATGTGCTTGATGTGCTCACACAGTTCAGTCGTCTTGCAGCTCTTCTCAACCTCTAATTTCACTTGGACTCCATACGAATCGCAGTTTTTTTGTTTTCCGGGGCTAGGTTCCATTGTAGGCCTAGATACAAATATCCGGATATTTTGAAAGATATTTAGAAGATTTTAAGATATTTAGGAAAGGATTGTGATATTTAGAATTTTGTTACGAAAAAAGGGCCGATATCATGTTTTTCTCGGAAGCTACTTTAATGCTAATTAGGGCATGGGCATTTCAGTGACAGAAATTCAAACAAATCTGCACATATGGACCTGTTGTAATCAGATTCAGCAATATTCTCCATTCATAATATATGCAATGTGGCTAATAATGTTCAACAAAATGGCTGAAATTTGTGTTGCCTTTTTAGATGACCGGCTATTTTTTTGTGTTTTTACTGTAATATTTATGAAATGAAGCCAGATATTTTTTTACATGATTAAGCATTTTCGAGATATTTAAAGAAAAAAAATTCGAGATATTTAGAGGAAAAAATCGGGAATTTCCGGAAAGATATTTAGCCGATTTTTCGAGATATTTGTATCTAGACCTATTCCTTTGTTAACTTTTTTTTATTTATTGTCATCCCAATCAATACCTTGAGGTCTTCCGAGAGCTGCGACGAAATTTGGTGACGATTATGATTTTAAATTGAAACATGAGTCGTAGTCATTTCAAATCTGCGACGAAATAACTGAGCTCCCCAGCTTCACTGCCGCTTGGCATCTCACTACTGAGTCGGGTTCAGTTAAGCGACACTTTACGGGATATAACGCCACGATCGTTGGTGGAGTTGGTCACGTCATTTCCGCCACTTGCACGGTAAACTGAAACAACGCAAAGACAGGTTTGAGACCAATATAAATGTGACAACAGTCTCCTTAAAATGCACTAAGTTAATTCAGGACGAATCACCACAAAAACTCCAATCGTCACCATTTTTGTAATATCCAAACTAGATTAAAACCCTTTAGTCATCTGATGTACAATAGTGAAACTCCAGCTTTTGGTTGTACGCGCACGTTAGAGCAGTTGCTGAGCCGTGCTCATACAAGAAGGCAAGAAGAGTGAACAGTGACCTTCGAATCTTAAGGCTACATGTGGACAAATGGAACCGGTCGTCACCGTAGTAAAGCGACGCAATTCAAAACTTACAGATAAATGAATTTATTATTCGAAGCAAATTTTTCTTTCTTTTCATTGGCCGAGAGCCCACCACGTGACCTGCAAATAACTGCCTACAAATAATGGTCTGCTCATGCACAATGCCGTCCAACTGTGTTTGGCTGCAAAAATAATATTCTACATATGCGTAAAGGAAACCGTGCTCTTCTCCTTCTTGCGATCGCTCTTGCGTGAAAATGGCAGATCGCTTCGCTTCCCGAGGATATTCATTAAAAAACAAACTCGGTGATCGAATGATAAAACGATTACTGAACTCGGTTATCGCAATATCGTGACCTGTCAGAGTCTCGCAGATCAATTATTTGTCTCAGCCTTCGGCTTCGGCAAATAATTGATCTGCTCGCCACAGACAAATCACGATATTTTGCTCAACCTCGTCCAATAATTGTTAATTGCTTTACCTGAAGATAATCAAACGAAACGAAATAAATGAGATTTGTTCACGAAAGCGCTTCGAACAGGTCGCATGCTCCATTGCCCAGCGTGGCAATGCTAAAAATGTCATATTATAACTTACCCTTTTTGTCCTCCATACTGTTTTTTTCAAGATCTATAATCAAAGCATTTGTTTTAGCCACGAATTTGAGGTTTCAATGATTACAATACCGTACCAGTTAACGGATAGCTGAGAAAACTGATAAGTCGCAAAGGGCTAATATATACGTCCATGAGTGAAATTATTCTACCTTAGTAATGGCCCCTTTAGCCCCTGGGGTAAATTGTTGGCTTTAGACTACTTATGTGATAAAACGAGAACTTCCACAACTTCAAGATTGAGTACTGTACACAGAGTGTTTAATTGGCGATCGATCCTTATCTTGTGCATTTCGCTCTCAAGAGTAATGCGTTTTAGTTATCACCTTTTTATTCCACTGTATAGTAAACAGAAAACGCCAAAATCCAGGACAAATATCCAATGGTATTGCTATTATTGTACACTATCTTTGCTCTTTGATGTGTAGTGTAGCTGAGGGTATACTAGTTTGTATTTTGACTTGCCCTTATTATTAGTGGTATTACGTTATTGTACCCACATCTAGTAGTAACTCAGTATAAATATTGATTATATATAAGTGCATGCATTGTGCATTGTCATATAGTATTATACCAACCATTTTTCTCCACTTTGATCTGCACTAAGTCCGTAAGTGGATTATACTTATAACCAAACTCCAAATGTATTCCAAAAACCACACTTGCGTCGGTTGGCTGAATATTATACACAACAAACGCTGCGAGAGAGGTTTCTGGATTTCCCGCCCAGCTTATTGCTGTCTCATAACCTGCCGTCACTTGGGGGATGTTGGTTGTCCCATTAATGATGACCATTCTTGGATAAACGTAACCCGGGCTTTTCCAGTAGCCAAAAGCTACGTAGATGAGAGCAAGATGGGCAGGTTGATAGTACCGCCAAACCAAAGAAACATTACCGCCGATGAAGACTTTAGTTGGTTTATCTGGCGTAGAAATAAATCTCTGGCGATCACCTGTTTGATACACAGAGCACGTAAATTAAATTTAAAAAAAAAATCAAAGTAGGTGTAATCAGTGAGTGACGTATTCTCACTCAGTCCTAATTATAATCATTATGCATTTATCAAATAGATTATTACAGTTTTCCATTGCCTATACTTGATAGTTATTAGATTATCAGTTCGATTTTTCTGTAGGTCAACAGTTACGAGAACGAGGAGTCTAATGGTTTAAGCAGAAACCAACTAGCATTGCTATTGTGTGTTTTCACATGACGTCATGGCGGCCATATTTGTGTCCCAAAACAATGGAACTGCAGCCATGTTGGTGTTCCAATTATTAACCAGTCCTCTGGGAATTGAACTCTTTTCTTATGTAAACGCTTTCTTTTGTTCCAATAAATTTACATAGATGCCGGCCACGTGAGTGAAAACACAGAATATCTTCCTCGACGCTTGTCACGTACTAGAAACACCTAAATTTTGTTCCTCTTAACATTAAGAATGTTCATTCGGTTTTTATGGCCGACCTCTCTCGTTTCTCTTTTTCTGGGACAGTATTCATGATTGATTTGTTTACCTACATCTCTTACTGTAGCATCACCAAACCATGACATTTCGAAATAGTTTTGTTTTTGTTAAAAACGCCGACTCGCTACTCATGACAATGCCTTTTTTTTTCCTGCTCACATTCCTTTGGTCCCTTTGCGCCGCCCCTATAATGTGATCACCTGGAACAGGCTAGCTTGCGTAGGCCGCAACCTTTGGTCACTTTTAATGTAGATCTCGACTTGTCTACTGCTGGCCTTACTACTGCTTAGTCGTCATCAGTCGATGAGGTCGACTATTTACACTTCAAAGACCCAGATGATCCGCTGTGAATGGGCAGGTTCGTTTTTAACAGCCGAGGGTTGCATTTCAATCGTTGCTGCTTCTGTTTCGGTCTGAAGGATATTGTTATTAATAACAATTAATAACGTGCGTTTTAAGAGAGTCAAGGACGCATAAACGTACAATTATGACCTGAGATTTTTTAGCCGCCTGTCATCGCTCACTGTAGCTGGTGACGTTTTTTCACTCTCTCTCAAAACGCCGAAACGCGAGTCCCAAGCGGCGGCGGGGATGAGAGGCAGCTGTATTTGCAGGCTAGCATGCAATATTTTACTTACGTTTTTGTTCGACTTTAACCTGCACTGAGTCTCTTAATGGGTTATATCTATATCCAAACTCCAAATGTATTCCAAAATCCACAGTTCTGTCTGTTGCTTGAATATCATGCAAAACAAACGCTGCGAGGGAATTTGTAAGGTTTCCCGCCCAAATAATTGCTGACTTATAACCTGCTGTCACTGTTGGAGTGTTGGTTGTTCCGTTCACTGTTATCATTCTAGGATAAACGTAGCCCGGGCTTTTCCAGTAGCCAAATGCTACCTCGATGAGAGTAAGATGGGAAGGCTTATAGTAACGCCAAACCAAAGAAACGTTACCGCCTTTGAAAACCTTAGTGGGTTTATCTGGTGTAGAAACAAATCGCTGACCATCCCCTGTTGAATAATGAGATCAACTGAAACGTGAAGAGACCCCTGTATAGTTATTCCGAGATTCTTTTTTTTCTTAATTTCTCAGCATCTATAAGGATTTAACGGAAATGTAAAATTAACTTCCCGTCAAATAGATTTTACAGTTGCGGGCTCAGTATCCTAGCCTTTGAGTGGATGTGTGGATGAGGTTAACCTTGTTTTAATACAAATCTCTTCTTTTTCTTAAAAACTCAGCAAACAACATACTGCTATTGTGGAGCTTTGATAATCATGGAGCATAATAATTATGGTAAAATATTTTGCAGTGGCATATAAAGCAGAANCATTTCGAAATAGTTTTGTTTTTGTTAAAAACGCCGACTCGCTACTCATGACAATGCCTTTTTTTTTCCTGCTCACATTCCTTTGGTCCCTTTGCGCCGCCCCTATAATGTGATCACCTGGAACAGGCTAGCTTGCGTAGGCCGCAACCTTTGGTCACTTTTAATGTAGATCTCGACTTGTCTACTGCTGGCCTTACTACTGCTTAGTCGTCATCAGTCGATGAGGTCGACTATTTACACTTCAAAGACCCAGATGATCCGCTGTGAATGGGCAGGTTCGTTTTTAACAGCCGAGGGTTGCATTTCAATCGTTGCTGCTTCTGTTTCGGTCTGAAGGATATTGTTATTAATAACAATTAATAACGTGCGTTTTAAGAGAGTCAAGGACGCATAAACGTACAATTATGACCTGAGATTTTTTAGCCGCCTGTCATCGCTCACTGTAGCTGGTGACGTTTTTTCACTCTCTCTCAAAACGCCGAAACGCGAGTCCCAAGCGGCGGCGGGGATGAGAGGCAGCTGTATTTGCAGGCTAGCATGCAATATTTTACTTACGTTTTTGTTCGACTTTAACCTGCACTGAGTCTCTTAATGGGTTATATCTATATCCAAACTCCAAATGTATTCCAAAATCCACAGTTCTGTCTGTTGCTTGAATATCATGCAAAACAAACGCTGCGAGGGAATTTGTAAGGTTTCCCGCCCAAATAATTGCTGACTTATAACCTGCTGTCACTGTTGGAGTGTTGGTTGTTCCGTTCACTGTTATCATTCTAGGATAAACGTAGCCCGGGCTTTTCCAGTAGCCAAATGCTACCTCGATGAGAGTAAGATGGGAAGGCTTATAGTAACGCCAAACCAAAGAAACGTTACCGCCTTTGAAAACCTTAGTGGGTTTATCTGGTGTAGAAACAAATCGCTGACCATCCCCTGTTGAATAATGAGATCAACTGAAACGTGAAGAGACCCCTGTATAGTTATTCCGAGATTCTTTTTTTTCTTAATTTCTCAGCATCTATAAGGATTTAACGGAAATGTAAAATTAACTTCCCGTCAAATAGATTTTACAGTTGCGGGCTCAGTATCCTAGCCTTTGAGTGGATGTGTGGATGAGGTTAACCTTGTTTTAATACAAATCTCTTCTTTTTCTTAAAAACTCAGCAAACAACATACTGCTATTGTGGAGCTTTGATAATCATGGAGCATAATAATTATGGTAAAATATTTTGCAGTGGCATATAAAGCAGAAAACATAGCCTTCAGTCACAACGTATTTTGGTTTGTTTTGTTTTTGTTAACCTTCGACATTTTTTAAGTCTCTAGGTATGTGCGTGTCGATACAGATGGCAACCTGAGAGACATTAAGTTTTATCCTCAAAAAGGAAAACTTGTGAATAAATAGCTTTTAAAGTTTGAAGGAAAAGAGAGGAAAACATATAGAAATTTATGACTCAAAATAACACTCAATAACACACATCTGTGACAGTACCAGAACATGTGCAGTTTGCTGTAGAGAAACGCATATTCGTTTACACAACTTGTAGCCTTTTGTCTTGTTAAAATTGAGTTAAGGAATAAATAATTCATTTTCTTAGTGCTATAAGTCCTTTAAGCCTTCAAATTGGCATCCCATAGGATCTTAAAGGAACAAAAGTTTAGCTTAAAGACAATATAAACAATGCACAGTTAACAAATAATGATATTCGAAGCAGGAAAAAGTTCTGGAAACTGAGGCGGAAAGTGTCTCCTTACCTGAGATTAAAATCTCGTTTGTTACAAATAAGAACCAAAAAAGGAAACTTTTTGTTGGAGAGAAACGCATATTCGATGACAATCAGGACAAGATCAGACGTCTGTGGAGGTTGGGGAATTGATCGCTGGTCTTGTGATGCTTGGGCTACCTGTTAGGGCCTGCATAAGGTAATCCGGATTAAAATATAGACATTAATAACGAAAATAGCAAAGAGAAAAGCGACTTGATGAAACAAGTGGGAAACCTGAAGTCGTTTTTCTCTTTGCTGTTTTGCTATTAATGTCTATATGCCAGAATCTCGCCAGAACAACGCGTCACCATTTAACCAACTGCCAGAAGACGACGTTTATTTAGTGAAGGTGGGAGGAGCTAGAACAATAGACTGGTAACGCGCTATATATTTCTCCTTCCCTCGACTCGTGATTCGCGCTTGTCTCGCGCTTCGCGCAAAATGCTGCCGATCCGTTCGCCTCGCTATGGCTCATAAAGCGCCTAGTACACGGTAGTCTGAATGACATATATAACTGCGTGTCATCAGCATAGGCATACGCAGAGGGGAGGTGCGAACGAAGGACCTCAAACAGCTTGCTAATATAACTAAGCGTAAAGCATGAACCCTGTGGAACATCGCGTTGAAAAGCAAATCTGTTTGAGAGTTCCTTTAACAGAAATACGCTGCGCTCTTCTCTCTAGGTTCTTAATTCGCATTCCGTTTTCGTATTTATCGGCGCGAAAACGGATATGACTTTCCTTTTCTGTTTCGTGTTTGCATTGCACTGGAAAACGAAATTCGTAGTTCGTTTTCCTTTGTTACTGGAGAAACAGACCTACAACTTCCTTTTCTGGTATTTTGTCACTTTCCACTTAGGCCAATTAAAAACCCCTTCCTGTTGACCCGAGAAGGCTTGGAAACCAACCATTTGTTTTGGCGGGAATATTACAAATTAAGATAGATTTAGTCGGCATTTAAAAAAGGTGTTCTAGATAAAGAGTCTTAAATAGCATAGTTTTTTTTCTTTTGTTCCTTTCGCTGGAAGTTTTTTTTTTTTTTGTTAAAAAAGGTGACGTTGAAAGCTTGTGTTTAGTTCTTT